GGCATCTACCCTGACATATTTGATCCGGTTGAAAAGCTGCTCCAAGATCTCGGCTTGATCTCCGTCATACTCACGGTAGAACGGAAGATTGACCTCGTTGAGAACGGCAGTGATTGTGCCCTGTGCCGCACGATCATCTGGCGTATTGCTGGTACTAGTATCGTAACGGCCAAACAAGGCGCAGAGGAGGCTGGCACCGATATTTGGGTCCATTGTGCGACGGTATCGTTCGCCCATTCGATCACGACCACGCAATGCGTGCTCAATCAACCAATCAGCCTTCTGCTTTAGCGGCCAGTCTCGGACTGCATCAAGCCCGCTGGGGCCTGCTTCACTAAAGCTGGCGTCAACGAAGTTGACTCGGCCGGATGTCCAGGCCTGCATTATGGCCTTGGTATCTCGATCCACATCGACAACGTAGAATTGCCAGAGCTGGAGCTTACTGAGGACATGATCCTTGACGCCTTGCATGACCTTCAGGAGGTCGGCCTCACTCTCAAATGTGGTTGGTAGACCGTGCTCTTTAAGCTCCTTGCCAAATTGCAACAGGGCTGTATCGAGCTCAAGAGCAGGACGCAGGTGAGGTGCCGTGTCAACGTTGTAGCCAGATTCAGGGTGCTCCTCAAGCCATTTGCTGTTGTTGGCCGTGTGGTTCCAGACGACATCAGTCATAGCAAGCAAATTGAACTTGTCATGCATCTTACGGACCAGATCCGCAATGTCCTTTTCGCCATTCTTGAAGATGGCGTCGTCGAATGTGAGCTGGTCGTATATGCTGTATGGAGAATTTGAATCACCACGCATCATTAGCGGTGTGAAATGGATCATGTTGTAGCCACGCTCGCTAATGCCCCGCAGGTGGTTGTCCCAGTCTGTGGGGTAGTTGCCCATGAACTTGGACAGGCAGGAGAAGATGCAGACAGCCTCAACCGGCAAGTGCTGACCATGCAACTCCAGACTCGGACAAATATCAATGTAGTATGTGTCTGTACGTGTAGGCTCTGGTGACGTGACGTCCGTAAATGACCACTCCGGCAGTGGTGTGTAGGTCGTGTAGAAGGAGAAGGCATTGGCCTCGTATACAGGAATCTCGATCTCACACATGCCCGTGAAGTTGGGCTGTAGTCTGCATCAAGTGTTAGGGGCGTTGAGGCCATTGAGAAAGCAAGAGCTTACTTGTACTCGCGGTAATTGCTGCGCTCAAACTTGTTTCCCTTTTCGGGAATGTTCACCCAAAGACTACCTTCCCGACATATTGAGCTGGTACCCTGGATTTGGAAGCATATTGAATATGCGGGATTGGTTGGTGGAGGCAGGTAAATGTACGTGCCGGGAACATCTGGCGTGCCGTAGTCGGTCAATGGCAGCAGGTAGACAACCCTCTGGTCCGAAGACTTAGAGTGGTGAGGCAATGCTACAGACATGATGGTGTCGAGTGACGAAGAGTCAAGCTGAGCTGGCGGTAAACAATGGCAACGGACACTCGAGGAGGGTTGCAACGAGGGAGTAGTGTGTAGAAAACAACTGGGCGAGTGCTGTGCGGGGAGGGGGGGAGGGGGGGAGAGAAAGACAGTGCACCAACGGGCTCAACTGAGGCTATCAGCAGTCGAGGGGCCGTAACGCGCAGAAGCTTCTGAGGCTGCCAATGGCCCTCTGTGTGTGGGGGGAAAAGAGACAGCAACAGCGTCTGGAGACGTGTGAGATTGGTAGTGGGCGGTCGCGTACTAGAGTACAGCGGCCACAAGCGCAATACGCGGGAAACGTCATTGCCCCAAGCTCTAACCCCAGCCTGTCGCCCCGTTCCTGACAACGCTACAATCCAATAGCGCGGGGGCTGGGCGTCCGTCCCAACGCAATCGAGTTGGCTCCAAAGAAACTGTTGAATACGCTGAAACTACCATTGGAAAAGCTTGTTTATGTCCCTCCGGCCACCGCATCCTCATATGGTACAAGTGGGCTCCCTCAGATGCTACTTCTTCCCAGCCCTCTCCCAACGCCTATATGCAACATGATGCAGGAATAAAGCAGTTAATGAATATGCATGCAGCCCAAACTCCAACGCTGGCTACTAAACAGATACCAAGCAATACTGCTGCCACGAGCTCAGAATGATCAAAAGATGGGTATCGCGACCTCGTGGCAGCTCACGCGGGACGAAACGAAGATGCGCAAAACAACAGCTCAAATCCAACCCTATCTTTTTCGTCACCTCATGCACGCGCGCCCAGGGGATTGTCTGCAATTGAACCCCCACTTCCCCCATATCTTCATCAGAACTTGATGTTGAAAGGAGAGCCCGGTGGATCGCGCAGGTCCAAGCGGAATTGTGTCGATTCTGAGTGTTCGCGCATGTGGTTTGCTTGCGTGGGTGTAGTGTTTTCGTCCAAGTCAACCGAAGATGCTTCTGTGCTGACTGACGGGGGTGCTCGTGGAACGCCTCGTTTGTGGGGAACACCTTCTCGGCTGTCTGAAGACGATGTCAGGCGTTCCGGAGACATTTCACGCTCACTGTAACCCCCGCCACGCATGCGCAGTACAGGGTTGCTCGCAGGTTCCGACAAAACCGGTGGAGGATTGGGCGGTGTAGCACGCCCATTTCTGTCAGACGAGATTCCGCGAGAAGAGGGTTTGATGTAGTCAGTTGACTGACTCCGTTTAGTAGAAGGCTTCTGGTTTGATGAATTGCCACCTTTGTTCTTGCTCTGGCCGTTTTTCGAGGATGTTTGTTGTTGTTGTTGTTGTTGTTGTTGTTGTTGTTGTTGTTGTTGCTGCTGTTGCTGCTGCTGCTGTAATTGCTGCTGCTGTTGGTTTTCGGCCTCGAGAGAGTTCAAGAAGTTGATTTCCTCTGTCAAAAAATCCTTCTCTGTCCAACAGCCCTGCCAGCAATTTCGCCAATCCAAGATAAGAAACTGAAAACAAAAGGCGTCGATCTTGATGGCTGGCTGAAAACAGATGCACAAGTTATTGTAGTTCATTTTGTTGAACTCGGAACAAGAATGGAGGAGGCTGATGTGACAAGTAATTGCGAACAAAAGATAGTAGTTGAAGGGGGGCAGTTTCGACAGCTCATCCTTGAGCATTTGCGGTGTTGTTTTTGCGCCTTGGCATTCATGTTGGATGGCAGCCTGAATCGCTTTCGGGAAGATTTCGTCTGGTAATTGTCGTAGCCAGTTCTTGAACAAGGAACCGATGACATTGGGGTCATTTAAATTCGGGTCGCTGATCAAATCGATATCCCGGTCTATAGTATCGTTAATAACTGCAAAGATGATAGATATGATGAAACATACCCTCATCAAACTTGCGTTCGTAATATCGAACTTGTTGGGCAGATCCCGGGACACGATATAGGCCTTCTTCTTCACAACCTCTCATGTTCAAGTAGCTGCAACATTGGTTAGGGACCGTAGTTCATTCAATCTGGAAATTACCTACTCGATACACCGCCAAGGTAGAGCCGGCATCCAGAATTCAGTCTTGTCGCGTGACTGTTCTAACCGGGTGGATATCCTGGTCAGTCTCGTCTGTTCTATTAGTGGCTTGTGAATGATCTTGCAGACATATGGCTCGTTCATTACGGGCGTCTGGGTCTCGTGGTTGCTCGAACTTCGTGCTAGTTTGCCGAAAACGCCCTTGCGTGCAGAGTCCATCTTCTCTCCCATGTTGCGAGCCCCTGAGCCGAGCTTGGAAATGAAACCATGTCCTTTGGTCTCGTTGAAGGAGTTGGAGGCAACCGATAACTGCTCTGACCTGTCTCTTCTTGATCCAGCGTCATCATTCTGTGGTATTGGCTTGGGTGCCTCTTGCCGTTCTGTCGAGTGGGTTCGCATCTTGCCCATTCCCATTTGGCGCCATGACTGACCCTTGTCCATTGTCGTCGGCTTGAGCGGCGTACCGTCGCCATTCGTCGTCCACGAGCCTGCCACGTCTGGTGACAATTGCCCTGGGGGCACCTTGTTCAGTTTTGCACGCGATCCCGAGCCTTCCCCCTCTTTGATAGATTTAGACCTCGACAAGATACCCTGCTTCTTTGGTTTTGGGTTGTTGCGTTTGGATGGGTCAGTGTGCAGGTCAGAGTCGTTTGATAAGGCAGACGGTGCCCGTTGGTCTAAGCGTACGACTTCGGAGCTGGTGTCTACTAAAATTAGCAAAACTGGGTCATTCGGTCAAATTGAAGCCCTTACCATCGGAATTGGGAGTGCGCACGGGGCGGCCGAGATCCGGTGTGGATGCGCCACTCCGTCCGTTGGAATACAGGGTTGGGGACGATTGTTGCTCGTGAAGCTGCCGTGACGAGTTTCCTTGGCTGCTGTTGAGGCGCGAGGATGATTTGTTGGCGGAGAAGTTGGCGAAGATGCTCTTGGAGTCTTTGCGAGGTTTGGGCGAGGCTGGTGATTGCGGCATATTGTGGAAAGCAGCGTTGGGTGCTGCATAATCGAACTTGTCGGGCATCTCTGGTGACCGTGGACTCCTTGGACTCAGGGGCGCACTACCACTATTATCCTTTGGCTTTCCCCGCATGGCCAACGAAAGTGTCGAAGATTTAGGCATCGTGTGTGATATTTGCCGTGTATGGTTTCGGGGCTACCGGCCGGGGATTACAACTCTGTTTGAGAGCAAAGCTTGTCCCAGTCCGCGCGCCGAGTTTGCAGGTGGGGATTCCAAAACAACCCAATAAGCGTCTCCGGAGGGGAAGCAGGGCGAGATGCAGACAGTAGAGCAAGCGTGCGAACAGGCGATGCGGCGCGTGTGGAGAGGTAGGTTTGGTGGTAGTAGCAGTAGCGGTGGGAGCAGTGGTGGTGGTTGTGGTGGTTGTTTTATTGGACGCGGCACATGAGTGTTTGGGGAGTCCAAGAGCCTGTGTTTGCCCATGGCTGTCAGCTGTGCGCTCAATCGTGGGCATGAGGGGCTGGAAGAGCAGGCGAAGGGGTTTAGCAGAGGGCGCGGGGTAGTACGAACCGTGGTCAGGCTGGTCAAGTAGTTGTGTGTGTGCCCTGGTCAGCGTCGTCTGCAGGCGTATGTATGTGGGTGCGTCGTGTCGCGATGTGGTCAGATATATCTCACCAACGGCAAGGCGTGGTTTCCATGCAGGAAGCCGGGAGAGACGGGGGGATGCAAAGGGCGTGACCCTGGCTCTTGGGCACTGGGCTGACGCTTGCAGGCCCGTTGCTTTCTGGCAGCTTCCCCTTAGGGAGGTCGAGTCGGGCGGTGGGTGACAGCAAGGCGGCCCTGCAACGTCTGGAACACAGTCAGCAAGCGTTGCGCAACGGCAAAGGGGCGGGCGCTATGGCGACTGTTGTACAACATTGGGGCGGGCACAGGTGAAGGCCGACGAGGGAGGTGTGCCAATGCCCGTCTGGGCCATCGGTCGACTTACCCACTCACTCACTCACTTACACACATGCACGCCCAAAACAGGGGAAAGGCGTCCGCTGGAGTCGCTGGCGGGCGGAAACAAAGACAGGGACAAGACAGGACGACGCCTCTGCAGGCCGACGAGGGTTCACGCGCAGAGAGGAAGGGAATGGGGAGAGTGGATCTATTTTGGGGCTCAGCACGCGTGTGTTCCTGACTACAGGCTTAGCTGCCCGTTGCAAGGGCGAGTGCGGTGTCCGGGCGGTGGACACGGCGGAGGAGAGGGGGTGGGCTTTGGCCAGCACTCAGCAGAAGGGGCACGAAAAAGGACGAGAGGGCCGTGGGCGGTGGGCGCCGGGCACATGGGGCGCGCGCGAGGCGAGGGTGGCGGTGGTGGTGTGCGGTCCTGGTCCTGGCCGTGGTCGTGGGAGAGGGGGTTGTTGTGGATGCTGTGATGGTGGTGGTGTTGGTGTTGGACGTGGATGTATGCGCTACGCTACGCTACGCTACGCTGTGCTGCTGCTCTGCTGCTCTGCGACGTGCGACGGAGCGAGGCCATGGGCTGCAAAGGGCGGCAGCGCCAACGACGAGGCCAGCGCACGGCCCCAGGTACGAAGACGCGCGACGCTGCTAAAACCCCAATTCGGCCCAGAGACACTATCGTGCGCAAACAGGTGTCCACCGCGGATGCACCACCGGCCATGCACGGCACAATGAGTATGTGCCTATGTATTCATCTCGCTGTTGTTGTTGTTGTTGTTGTTGTTGTTGTTGTTGTTGTTGTTGTTGTTGCTGCCGCTGTTGCTGCCGCCACACACACACACACATCAAGCCTCTATTCCTATTTCTCTCTCCTGAAATGTGTCGACAGAGGGCCCGCATACTTAGGCTGGCGGGGCAACCACTTCACCATGCCAAGAAGCGGGTACAGTGCATGTGTGTATATGCACACAAGTCTGTATCTATCCAAGTGTCTCTGTACGTATGTATGTACTATGCACACAAGTACTTACTTACATACATCAGCCGCCGAGGACAGCGCAGCGCAGCCCAGTGCCGTGCCGTGCCGTGCCGTGCAAAGTCAAAGTGCGAGTGTGTCCATGGCTCCATGTCACGCACGCATGCTGCATCCATGGGCAGCCTGCCAAGCCTTGTTTCAGACGTCTTCAGACTCCCTCGCCCTCGCCCTCGCCCTCGCCCGCTCCGAGCTGCCTCAGGCCCACCCCTGTCGTCCGACGCAAGCACAGAAGCTCGACACCAATGCACCACACCTGTAACCCGTCACCCAAGCACTAGACCCCTCCCACCTTCCCTCCCACCACAACCGCACCCCCGTCTCTAACATGTCTCTTGTTTCTGGGCCCGGGCGTGCTGCCACGACGGCCATGCCCGACAACATGCTTCTCTTCGTCGACAAGCACGTCCGCTACATCCAGAGCCTCGATACTGTGCGTGCGTCCTGCTTTTGCCTGGCCGCGCAAGCACCCGGCCCTCAAATCCCGCGCTGACCCGCTCCAGCGCAAAGACGAGCTCGAGTACTGGCTCACTGAGCACTTGCGCCTCAACGGCCTCTACTGGGGGCTGACGGCCCTGCACCTCCTCGGCCATCCCCATGCCCTTCCTAGGGCTGGCATTCTGGACTTTGTATTCTCCTGCTTGCACCCTGACGGTGGCTTCGGTGCTGCCCCCGGCCACGATGCACACATGCTCTACACTGTGAGTGCCGTCCAGATACTGGCCACGCTAGACGCTTTTGCCGAGCTTGACGAGCGCATCCCCGGCGGCCGCCACAAGGTTGGACAGTGTAAGTTGCTCGCGCGTCGCTGGTCGTCCTCGCACGAGGAGGAATAGTCGCACTCATGCCATGTCTAGTCATTGCAAACTTGCAGGATCCCCAAACAGGCACATTTGCAGGTGACGAGTGGGGCGAGCAAGATACTCGCTTCCTATACGGTGCACTAAATGCCCTCTCGCTCATGGGACTGCTCAATCTGGTCGATGTTGCAAAAGCGGCTCAATACGTGCATTCGTGCGCCAACTTCGATGGCGGCTACGGAACCAGCCCTGGCGCCGAGTCGCACGCTGGGCAGGTGTTCACGTGCGTTGGCGCACTGACCATCGCAGGTAGACTTGACCTTGTCAACCACCAAAAGCTTGCCGCATGGTTGAGCGAGCGACAGCTCAAGAATGGTGGCTTGAATGGACGGCCGGAGAAGAAGGAAGATGTCTGCTACAGCTGGTGGGTCATGAGCAGCATGGCCATGCTGGACAAGCTGCACTGGATAGACGGCACTAAGTTGACGCAATTCATCTTGCAGTGCCAGGTACGTAGTTGTCTGTCTTTGCTCGGGCTTGCGTCTGATGTTTGTAGGACCCGGAGCTGGGTGGCCTCGCAGATCGCCCGGGCGACATGGTCGATGTCTTCCATACCGTCTTCGGCATTGCTGGTCTAAGTCTTCTCAAGTACCCAGGCCTTGAGGAGGTAGATCCCGTCTAGTATGTGTTTGCTCTCGCGTGTCCTAAACATAGACACTGACCATGGACCAGCTGTATGCCTCGATCTGTGACTCGTAGATGCTTAGGTAAGTGACCGGGAATGTCATAGATCAAGTCTGCGCCCGACCTCTTCTCGTATCTGCTCAGTGTGAGCTATAAATGTCGGCACTCACTATGTACATGTCACCTGTCATTCGATGCATCAAGCTCTTAAGCGACTGCTTGCATCTCTACACCATGACAATCCATGTGCATGTGTAGTCCATTCTCCTGTCATTGCCCTCCCGCTATCTAATACCTCACGGCTTCCCCATAGGCGCTGAGACACAAAGCGGGAGGAAAGTAACGGTGGCTGCCTCTTTTGTCAGTGCCGAGCCTCTCCACGTGCTCTGCCTGCTAGAACACTACCAACAAACTTTCCCCTCGTCTGCAGATACTGTGTGCCTTCCCCCATGCCCTGACTGCGAGTGCTTCTGTCTCTTTCTCTACTTCCTCTTACTTGCTCAGGCCATGGGCTGGAGCTACCGCAACGGTCGGCAGCCATCTCTGCATTGAACCTCTCATGAGCAGGTCTTCCACTGCCACTTCGCCTTCTCATCTGCCAGCCCGCTCCTTTCGCAACATTTCGCATTTGCCGCTGTGCTGCTGTGCTGCTGTGCTGCTCTTGTGTCTGCTCCAGTTACGCTCCTTACAAACGCCAGCGTCCACGCTGCAGTTTCTCCTTAGCAGACTGCGACCTCTGCAATCGTCCGGCATGGCTAACATACCGCTTCACTGCAACATCTGTCCCAAGAAACCAAATTTTAGCGATGTCTCCCATCTACTTACCCACATCGCCAGCAAGGGCCACTTATCCAACTACTACAAGGTCAAGGTCCGCTCCACCAATGAGGAATCATCCCGCCAACTCATCGAGGCATACGACCAATGGTATGCTGAATGGTCTGTTGAGGAGCTCATGTCAGAGCGGATGAATCAAAAGGATAAACGTCGCACTCGGGCAAAGCCAGCTGGTATAGCCCATAATGTCTGCGGTTCATCGCATGGCAATGTTGCTAACTTCACTGACCTGTAGCCCGTTCCACTTCTGCGCCCAAGATCGAGGCTCCTGTGCCACGCTCCGTTCGTCGCGCTGCCGCCGCTGGTAACTTTCTCGATCCCCGTCTCGCAGAGCAGCAGCGCCAGCATACAGCGATAAAGTTGGAGCAATCACCTTCGCCCATCTCTCAAACTGCAGGCCCACTTCTCCGTAACCGCAACACTTTCGCTCCCCATATGCAATACTGGCCTACAGAATCGCGTGCCAGCTCTCAAAGCTATACGAACCCCGACTATGAGACCTCGAGTGAATACTCGGAACCAAGCGAGAGGCGGCGATCATACCAACATGCAGCGGCTTCTTGTGCGATTGAGGACGATCCTGCAGATGTAGCAGACCCGATGGCTGTCAGTGAGTCAACCAAGCTCAAGGGTGTGTACTGGCCTGGGATGGATATTTTTGATTCAGCTACCCCGGAGATGCGCCGCAAGAGAAACCAAAAGAAAGACAGTTCTGTTGTTGCACAGTTAGAGCTCAACTCCTTGGACGTTGAGGCAACGGAGCTCATTTTCACTCCTTTGGGGACGTTCAAGCGACAACGAAGAATCTCATGTTCTGAATCTGATGGAGATGAGGTCGAGCTCAAATCCGAGAGCTCTCCTCCAATGCGCAGGCGTCCTGCACTCGCGCATCTCGACGTCAACACCTCTCGTCGTTCCAGACAATCAAATCACCCTGCATTCCCCTTCCTGGATCGCAACCAGTACGATGAAGATTATGGCCGCACTAGCAATCGCACTCGCGCATCAAAGCGAAAGCGGTTTGATGTCTTCCAAGATGACAGCGCTGTTTCATTCTCACAGCCTAGCAGTATGACCTATCTTACATCTGCCTTCACACGTCAGCCTTCGCCGAGTCCGACAGCCCCTTTTCATACTTACAAGCCTTTCAATGATTCATTTCAATACGATAACAAGGAGAACACCATGCCCTCGTTTCACCAAACAGCTTATGGCAACATCCATAGCCATCAGAGTACCAGCTACCAGTACCCTACTTACGCCTATGGCCTAAGCCCTGATCATCAGGTCTTCCAGTACAGCACCCACTTGTACAATGCGGCTAATGAATACCCGCAACACGACCAAGATGAAGATGACGACCAACGCACTATCACTGCGCCTCCTTCTCCGTCTACGAGCTAAAGGATTACCATGTCTTGTCAAACTCTCAATGCGATACCTACAACTTGGCATAGCATTCTCGATGCGTTTACAAACTCACTCTTAGGGCGTCTTCTCTTAAAGAAATTTTAGTGTTCCGCTTTTGCATGATATCATACGATTTATTGCCGTATCCTATACCGTCGATTATGATATATCCGAAGAGTAGCAGGCTGAAAAGATCACTGGAAAGATACTCAGACATGTCCTCTCTCATTTCTATACTGTTCCCTACTGTTCAGTTTTTCTCACGAACATGGGTTGCTGGTGAACAGCTGGTGGGCATGTATAGTATCGCTGCTTTTACGTCTTCATCGTTGATAAAGTAGCTGTGATAGAATCTATCTCGGTGTGTTTAATGTCTTGTCTATGAACATATGGCTGTGCATCACATGCATGCCCATATACTCCCAGGCGGCATCTAATTCCATGCCTCCTTGACCTTTACTCCCACTTTCCGCTTCCACCCATAACCTTACTCCTCCTCACTTTGTCTAGATGCTCAACACTCTCGTACCCATTCACCTTGGCGTATACAATTCTTAAACCGCCGCCAACAACCCACATAATGACTCCACTTACCACAAATAAGCCCACACGCTGGCTGGTGGTAAGAAGGTGGAACATTGGATACGGATAAAAGCCATTTTGGGAGTAGCAGATTTCCTGAGCCATTGTCAGAGAAGCGAAGCAACATGTGAAAGGTCAAGAAGTTCATGACTTACGATCCAGATCCAATAAGAAAAAGCGACAATGGTGGAAAGAGAAAGAGTAATCATGGGTGCGGATTCGTTCATGGGCGTTGTGGGCCATGGAGGGGAGAGCAGCAGAGAGTCTATGGTAAGAACAACAGCAGGTACGAGGTGAAATCCAATATCATAGAACACTGGTGGTAGTGGTATTTCTCTGTGATATCTGCGTCAGCCTCATTCATTTTGACCAACCACTATCGTTTTGACGACAGCAATGCGCTGAGTAAGTTGGGAAGAAAGCTATACATACGGGCTCACAAGTAGTTTCCCATCAATGGCCTTTATTGACCAGTAAAGCACTGAAATGGTTATTTCCATTGGTGCTGCGATCAACGTTAGGTAGTTCTTCAGCCTAAAGAGGTGCGACGAGAAAGCTGCAGCGGGTGGGTCGGAAGGCATGTCCGGGGATTGGTCCAAGGCTGTGGATGTCAGGTCCGCCAAAAGGGCGACGATGAAGGCTAGAGTCGAGATGGAGAGGCCGAGTATGGTCAGGAATTGAAGATGCCAACCAAATGAGGAACTCTAACTGACACGTCAGGATACTTGTGTGTAACAGTACTTTACGAATTGTAAAAACCTACAAAGTCATTCGGATTATCGGTCAAACTTCGATATGTTAGCTTCTTTTTTTGGTTCTGCCCTTGTGGAAGCACGTACAATTTGAAAGATAGGTAGAAACTGATCAAGCCAAGGACCTACATCCCAGTTGGTCAGCAAGTGGGTTTTATCTTATTTTTCTCACGATAACACGGTTCTGCAACTCACATGCAAAGCGCCTGAAAATCCTTTGGATGGAGAGTCAAATCGTTGGAGCGGGTGCCGCCGGCTCGACGTGGGCTTGATCTCAGCCGACGTTTTGGGTGCCATCTCACTATTCACGATTATAATCAAGATGTAAAAGAAGATGATTTAATAGTGAGATAACCGCACTGTAAATGAGACACGAAGGATAGAACGTTGTACAAGACAAAAAGAAAGTGTGCAGAGTAGGAACACTAGCGTTTGCAAGACGTGACGTATTCAGTGGATACACAGCAAAGTTCACCTTGACAGGGTACCAGCCAAGCACACGTGGGTCCCGCTGTCGTTCCGGATGGAGCCTCGGAAGGGTTCCGCATCCGGGTCTGACTAAGCTGTAGGAACAAGCAACTTTCCTCTCGCAGCCCTCCCACTTCATCCATTTGTGCCATCCATAGTCTCCTCAACATATAGAAGCTCGCACCTCACGTTTCCCAGTCATCTGACGCCGGGTGGATAGAAGCTTGCCGAATTTGAGGCTATTCTTCGGCTCATCCATAAGATGCCGAGCGAAACCAGTCCGAGAACGAATCATGTTGTTCGGATGGCAAAACCTCGGTACACATAGCAATCCCGCTATGTTGGCTTCTAAAATCGGCCAATGATACATATTTGTGCTTCTCCACACTGTCGTGTCGCGATGAACAGGTTGGTGGGATAACAGCATGTCTATCGGAAAGACGGACAAACAGCCCGAACCGGATGAGGTGGAGCGGGTGAAACTTAGGTACATAAGATTTGGAGGGCTGCACTTTAAAGAAAGGTACCGAGCGGTGATACTCGCAACATAAATTTTGCATCCCGGCTGCATGTAGCAAAAAGCATTTGTACTCTCTTTTTCTCAGTCTCAGAGCCCTGGTCACAGCTCTATCTCGTTACAAAACTACAGCCATGAGCTCAAAAGTTGAGACTATTCTCCAGTCTCTGACACTGGAAGAGAAGATCACTCTCCTTGCTGGCAAGGACTTTTGGGAAACAGTTCCAATCCCAGAAAAAGGCGTTCCTGCTATCAAGGTACGGCTTGCAACTATAGCAATGGGCGTGCATCAAACCTGACAATTGGAAGACCAGTGATGGACCGAACGGCGCACGCGGTGGAGTCTTTACCGGAGGAACACGAGCAGCCTGTTTCCCTGCTGCAGTATGCACGGCCGCAACATGGGATCCTGCAAACGGGAAGCGGATTGGCCATGCCTTGGCAGAGGAAATCAAGACTAAAAGCGCGAGAGTGCTGTATGTGTACTTCTTAATAGTATATGGATGTTACTAACAGTCTTATCATAGACTCGCACCCACCATGTGCAACCACAGGCATCCACTCGGTGGCAGAAATTTCGAATCATTCTCCGAGGATCCGTATCTAGCCGGAAAGATGGCTGCTAATGTTGTGAATGGACTTCAGGAGAAAGGCATTGCAGCAACGATCAAGCACTTTGCGGCAAACGAGCAAGAGACGGATCGATTGCGAGTCAATGAGATTGTCTCGGAACGTGCGCTGAGAGAAATCTACATGAAGCCTTTTGAGATCACTGTTAAAGAAGCCAATCCTCTTGCCGTTATGACCTCGTATAACAAGGTCAATGGTACACATGCGGACTCAAATGAGTTCTTATTAAAGCAAGTTTTGCGTGGCGAATGGGGCTGGAACGGTCTCGTTATGAGCGATTGGGGCGGCACAAACTCTACTGCCGACTCACTGAATGCTGGACTGGACCTCGAGATGCCTGGACCAACAAGATGGCGTAGCGTCGAAGCAGTGACTGAGGCGGTTAAGAAGGGCGAAGTTACAGAAGCTACCATCACTGAGCGAACGAGGAACGTTTTGAACTTGATTGAGAAGGTAGGAGCGTTCGAAAACCCAGAGATACCACCAGAACGGTCTGTAGTCGACCCGAAGCATTGCAGGCTCATCCGCGATGTTGCCGGACAGGGAATCACGCTGTTGAAGAATAATGGTGTTTTGCCGCTCAGAAAACAGCAAGTCAAAGGCAAGAAGATTGGGCTTTTTGGTCTAGCCAAGGAAGCCCTCATCCATGGCGGTGGTAGTGCATCTTTGAATGCTCACTACCGCATCACGCCGGAAGAAGGTCTCAAATCTGCATATGGCGACGATGTAGAATTCAAGTTCGCTAAGGGCGCAGCAACGTACCGTCTCATCCCCCCTCTATCAAAAGGCTGTAGAGACATGGAGGGAAATGATGGATGGACGATGAAGCTTTTTGACAAAGACAACAAAAGTAAGCCGATTAAAACGGCCCATCGTGCCAAAGAGGCTGCATTCTCTCCTCTGCTGGAACATCAGGCCAAACACAGCGAGGTCGTATTTGGCGCGACTTTTTACCCCACCGAGTCTGGCTCGCATTATCTTGGATGCTCAGGTATCGGCCCAACGACTGTATACATCAATGAGGAACTCGTTTTCGAGCAAAAGCACAACTCACCCGACGCAATGGGCTTTCTCTTCGGTGGCAACCCAGAGAAAGAGTTCCGCGTCCCTTTTACAAAAGGCCAATGCTACAAGATCGAGATCATTTCAAGACCACCGAGCGGCAGCAACGACGACGCTGGTATCCTCGACGGCCTCCCAGGCTTCAGACTCGGCTTCATGTACGAAGAAGAGCACGACAAAGACCTTGCCGCCGAAGCCCAAGACCTCGCAAAAGACTGCGACTACGCCATCGTCTTCACGGGCCACACGCCTGTCTGGGAAACCGAAGGCCAGGACCAAGCCAGCTTCCACCTACCACGCGAAGGCACACAAGACAAGCTCATCGCCGCCGTATCCTCGGTCAACCCCAAAACCATCGTCGTAAACTCCACCGGCGTACCCGTCGCCTTACCCTGGCTCGACAACGTCGCCGCCCTCGTCCAAGCCTGGTTCCCCGGCCAAGAAGCCGGAAACGCCATCGCGGACATCCTATCCGGCGCCGTAAACCCCTCGGGCCACCTCCCCATCTCCTGGCCCAAACGCATCGAGGACGCGCCTGCACATGGCAATTTCCCCGGCGAGAGAGACGAGAGCGGCCAGCTCACCGTCAAGTACGCCGAAGGCGTTTTCGTGGGATACAGACACTACGATCGTCTCGGTAAGGAGAAAGTACATTTTCCATTTGGATTCGGGCTTTCGTATACGGCGTTTGCCATCTCCAACGCGGCTGTTGCAAAGCTGTCTTCGGGCGCTTTTAATGCTTCTGCTAGCGTCACGAATACGGGAAGCGTGGCTGGAGCTGTGGTTGTACAGTTGTATGTTGGGAGGAAGGAAAGGTCGGATGAGCATCCTGTCAAGACGCTTGCGGCGTTCCACAAGGTGGATCTTCTGCCTGGGGAGGAGACAGCGGTTTTGCTGCCATTTGCGAATAGGGATTTTGCATACTTTGATGAGGAGGCCAAGGAGTGGGTGGTGGAGAAGGGGTTGTATGAGTTTTCTTTTGCGCAGAGCGCGGGACATGTGGATGAGGTTATTGAGGTTGAGGTTGAGGGTGTGAGGGGGTTGAAGATTTGAACGGGTGGAGAGTTGAATGATGTAGTATTTTGATAATTAGCGGTTATGAAGAGAGGGAATTGACTTGAAATTTCTCAACACTTGTTTGCGTAAAACGATTCTGCGTTCGTGATATTCAACATCGTGGTGTCTGGTAACTGCACATATGGGACCTTGCATGTAGAAACTTGAGGTGAATATATTGCCCTTGGGAATCAAAGATCACATGTTTAACAACTACCTGTATGGATATCTGAAGAAGAAAAAGAAAGTCACATATACCAAATACACACTTGGAGCCTCAACCAACATCTCTCGTTCCGGATAAGAACGCACGCATCGAGACTTGTCGTATTTGGTTCTTGGAGAAAGACCAGGGTTGTGCATCACGCTGTATATCCGTACACCTCCTCCCTACACCCACTTCAATCTCAGAAAAAAAAATAACCAAACACTCAAAAACCGCACCACTGTATCTTACACCTACCCACTTCCACACTACTATGTAGTGTCGTCATACATCTACACACCCTAGCACCTCACATCCCCCCAGCAGTGAGCGTCGCCCAGAAAACACAAAAAAAACCCCAAATAACCAAATCAGCGGAGTCGATACCCGACCGAACCAACGTAGACGCTGCAAGGCCACCCACTTTACCAGGGCCACATGCTTCTGACACCTATCACTCGCCTTCCTTTCTCCCCCACCCCCCTTCCTTGCTTTTCCCCACTTCACACGTCGTAACACTTTTTCCACTCCCACGAGGCGGTCAAGCCCAGATAAGCGCATCTTGATAACCTTGGCCTTGCCTCTACACACATTTCCCTCTTCTTGCTATCTTACCGCTCAAATCTCGCCGAAAATGAGGCGAGATAAAGTACCGAAAGTACTCTCCCCGAATCTTTTCGGCACTCGATAGGCCCAAAAGCAACAGCTCAGCCCCGTCCGTATCCCCATATCCACACACACACACACACACACACACACACAAACGCCATTTGTACATATAAGTGTATGTGATAAGGTTTTACGTGTATTTGTCAGCCAGACGGCGCAAAGAACTGAGGATGGACCGTGAGTCCCTTTCTCCACTGTTTTGTGTAACGTTGCGGGTTGGAAAAGGAAAGAGGAAAATGGCCAGATGGGTGAAGAAGGGTCAAAAGCGTGGCTAAGGGAGAATCGGGCACTTGGCAGAGCGTATATACCAGTGCTTGTGCCAGATATAGTGGCAAAAAGCAATAGTATACAGCTTTTATCTGCGTGTGTGGTGTCAGTCAGTGCAAGAGCCCCCCACGCCTCTGACTTTTGTTTTCAAAAGGTTCCATTCATCCCGCTCTTGCAGCCCCCAAGTTTACCTTTTTATTTTTTCCCCGAGTTGATCTTTTTGCTCCTTCATCCCATCCCCCACGGCCCCACGCCGCTAGAAAAGTCCTAGAGTAGAAAGAAGTGAAAGTCGTCGGCTTTTCCGTGTTGGAAAGCTTTCGGGCAAGCATTCCCGCAAGAGAGACGCAGTACCATTACTCGCTTTTTATCGTGTACATGTGTACATATGTAGTGTAGACACAGAAACAGACAAGGTGCTGTGGAGTCCCTTTTTACTAGTATACCTTGATCTCCTGAGATCATCCCACCACAAGCTCACGGGCGAGCACGACACATGTCTTGATATCCCTGCAAGACTAGTCGAAAGCGGTATGGCGCGTACACCGCCACAACGGCACAAGCAA